GACTCTACTTCTGGATTCTTTCTCCACTAATCTACTTCCCTATTCTAATGCCAATAACATATTGATTTCTTTATACAGATTTTACAGTATGATCTGACATCTGATAAGGCAAGTTTCCTCTCTTTTTTTTTTTTAATTCAGAAACATCTTGTCACTTTTGTCCCCTGTAAACTTAATAAACAAACGTCAGGTAAGATGATATAAATTGTTTCCTAGAAGTGCATTACATATGTAAATAAATTTTGGGAGAATTGACTTTTTAAAATAAAATTAATTCTACATCCAAACAAATATGTCTTAACTTTTGTTGAGATCTTGTTTTATGCTCTTCATTAAGTTATGTACTTTTCCTTTCATTTGGAACTCTGCGCTCTATTATTAAATATATTATTAGTTATGTTTTATGTAGTTTCAGGTACATGGAGAATTTTTCTCCCATTTCCCTTTCTAGATATTTCCATATGAATGGAGTAAATATTGTTTATCATATCATCCCACTAATTTTATGAATCCTTTTTTTTTTTTTTTTTTGGTACTGGGGATTAAACTGAGGGTCACTTCACACTGAGCCATATCCTAGCCCATTTTGTTTTTTATTTTGACAGGGTCTCATCAAGTTGCTTACAGTCTTGCAAAGTTGCTGAGGCTTGGACTCAAACTTGTGATCCTCCTGGCTCAGCCTTCTGAGCCACTGGGATTACAGGCGTGTGCCAGGCCTGGCCTAATTTGATAAGACTTTTGGGTATTTAACTATTCAATCAAATCCTTAAAATAAAGAGGATATTTTTACCATTTCATATTTTCTTAACTACAATAGTCAGACATTCCAATAACATTGAATACTAATACCTAAAGAAGTTAAATCTACTTACACCTGAATTTTTAATTAAATAGTATTTAATAGCATTTTAAGTTTTAGAAAAATAATTGTTGTTTGTTCTTAGTTAAGATGATATTTTACATTTAAATAGTTTCCTTATGTTCTTAGAAATTTTGAATAGAAATAGCTAGGTGATTATTATCATGATCATCAACCTATCATTGATTAGAAAGAACCTTACATGGAAATGGAATCATTCCTGTCTTCCTGAAATAAACTTCATTAAGCCATAGGTACTATAGGTATTATTTTTTAATTAAATAATGTGTGAATTAGATATACTAGTATTTCCTTTTCAATTTTTTCATTTATATACTTCAGTGAGGTTAAACTTTTTTCTTTTTTAAAATTTTATTCTTTAATTTGTTCTAATTAGTTACACATGACAGTAGAATGCATTTTGACAGATTGTACACAAATGGATCACAACTTTTTCTTCTGGTTGAACACACTGGTAGTGTTATCAGACATGTATATGGGGTAATAATGTCCATCTCATTCCACCATTCATTCCATCCCTACAACCCCTCCCTTCCCCTTATTCCATCTGCACAATACAAAGTTCCTTCATTCTTCCCCACCCTACTGCCCCATTATGGATCAGCATCCAATTATCAGAGAAAACATTTGGTTTTTGTTTTGGGGGGTTTGGCTTATTTCACTTAGCATAATATTCTCCAGCTCTATCCATTTACCTACAAATGCCATAATTTTGTTCTTCTTTAAGGCTGAGTAATATTCCATTGTGTATATGTACTACATTTTCATCCATTGATCTGTTGAAGGACATCAAAATTTAGCTTTTTTTGAATTGAGCTGCTATAACATTGATGTGGTTGCATCACTCTAGTATGCTAATTTTAAGACCTTTGGGTGTAAACCAAGGAGTGGAATAACTGGGTCAAATGGTGGTTCCATTCAAATTTTTCTGAGGAATCTCCATACCACTTTCCATAATGGTTGCACCAATCTGAGGTCCCAGTAGCAATGTATGAGTGTACCTTTTTCACTACATCTTTGCTAACACATTGTTTCTTGTATTCTTGATAATTGCCATTATGATTCCTCTTTCTATCAGAATTTAGTATTAAACTATGCTGGATGAATAAAATGAACTGGAAAAAAAACCTTCAATATTTATCCACTTTCAGGACCAGTGGAAAAAAAAAATTATTATCTCCTAATTTTTTTAAAAGATAATTGTAAGTCACTTTGGTCAGGATGCATTATTTACCTTTCTAAGGTCTTTTATAGTAATGACCTTTTCAAGTTTTATACTAATTGAGTCAGTTATAATAATCTAAATTTGATAGGATACTCTTTCCATGTAAGTTTTATAAGTCAACAATTCTGATTATGATTAACATCTAAGGTCTATCGTGGTCTTTTCTCTTACTCTAATCATACATTTTGTTCAAATTATCAGGCTCAAGGTGGATTTTGCAATTTTGCAGAGTGATCTCTTATGATTTTCTTAATTTTTCTACTTTACTTTTTTTGTTGTTTTTATTTTCATTTTTATTGGTTGTCCTTTACCTAACTTATTTTGTTTGGCAAAGGAATAATATTTTCAGCGAAGTAAAACAGTCTTCATATTTAAATTCAGGTAGTATAATTTTAATAAAGTGAGATTATTAGGCTAGGGATCAGAATATGTCATCAGAATATGCCATTAAGTCATGTGTGCTTTTTAGCAAAGCATTTTATCTGTGCCACGAATAGTTTCCACATCTGCACAATTAAAAAAGGCGTGTACAGCCTGGAGGTTTTTGTTAGGTACAAAAAAAAAAAAATTACACCTGCTAACCTGTAAGTTAAGGTTATCTTGAAAGGTAAAACAAGATCTTGAAGAAAACACATCTAAGTTACACTGCAGAAAACCGAGAAATATATTTAAAATTTGTTTAAAATGTCCCATGTTGTTAAATAACATTCTCATATTATTTTGGGGAGAAAAGAAATAGCCTATGGTCAAATGATAGTTTTCAGGGACTTATGTCAAACAAACTACAAAACCTGTGATTTTTTCAATAAAAAGCCTATGCATTTTATTTATATTTTCATTTGGACATGTAGTCTTATTCATTAGATATGCAAAGTGTCTGGGATACAAGAGTGAAATTCAACTTTCTACCTTTGGTCTCTGATTAAATTTTTCCATGGTCATATAGTTTTCATACAATATAGCATATATATTTTAATTCCTAATTAAAACTTTTTCATCACAGATTATTCATTAAGATAATTCAGAATTTAGAAACTTCTATACTGATAGCTTTATTGACAAAAGGATAAATCACTCTAAGTTTGGCTTTGAATTTCAGAAAAAATTCAGAGAAAACAAATATGTTGCTTTATATGAGCTCTGTATGAGTTCTACAGGTTTTTTCACTGACTTATATACTCTGCTGATTTCTTTAAATTTTGGGGAAGTAACATGTAAAAATCCTTAATTTTTTGTTTTTTTTCTAAAGAGGTTTCTACATGTTGCCCAGGCAGGCCTTGATTTCCTGATGTATGTCACCACACCTACCAAACAAAAACTTTTTTTGATGAAGAGTTATTTGTCCTAATATTATTTGTGGATGGATTATAATATATCTTCCATTTTATAACCAGAATCTATTTATTTATTTATCTATCTATCTATTTATTTATTTAATGGAGGGGTATCAGGGATTGAACTCAGGGACACCCAACCTATGAGCCACATCCCCAGCACTATTTTGTATTTTTTTTAGAGACAGAGGTCTCACTGAGTTGCTTAGGGCATCACTTGCTGAGACTGGCTTTAAACTTGGGATCCTGCTGCCTTAGCCTGCTGAGCCACTGGGTTTACAGGCATGCCCCACCATGCTCAGCAGTATTTATTTTTTTATTGTTTCTTTCTAGTTATATATAACAGTAAGATTCATTTTGAGATAATTATAAAAGCATGGAATATAATTTGTTCTAATTGAGACCCAATACTTCCACTTTCCCTACCCTTGTACCCTTTCTGCTATTTACATATACATACCATATATATATGTATATATATGTATATATCTTGTGGATGTAGATGATTGTGAAATTCACTCTAGTATATTCATATATCTACATACAAAAGTTAAGTCAGATTCATTCACTTTATTTCCATATTCAACCTACCCCTCCTTCCTTCCATTCCTCTTTGTCTAATCCACTGATCTTTTTTCCATTCTTTTTTATCCTCCACCCCCTTATTTTGAATGAGCTTCTGTATATCAAAGAAAACATTAGTCCTCTGACTTTTCAAGGCTGGCTTATTTCACTTAGCATTATAAGTCTCCAGTTCCATCCATCATTACTGACAAAAGTAACAAAGTCATTCTTGTTTACACCTGAATAATACTGCATTGTGTATACATACCACATTTTCTTTACCCATTTGTTTGTTGAAGGGCAGTTAGGTTTGTTACATAGATTGGCTATTATCAAATGTCTTGCTGTAAACATTGACATGGCCAGATCACTGTAGTATGCTGTTTTAAAATCTTTAGATATATACTGAGAAGTAGAATAGCTGAAACAAAAGGTGGTTCTATTCCAAGTTTTTTTCAGGAATTTCCATACTGCTTTCCAGACTGCTTGCACCAATTCATAATACCACCAGCAATGTTTGAGTCTACCTTTTCCCCCACATCCTAGCAAATATTTATTGTTACTTGTATTTTTGATAATTGCCATTTTGACTGGAGTGAGATGAAATATCAATGTAGTTTTAATTTGCATTTCTCTAATTGCTACAGGTATTGAACACTGTTTCATATATTTGTGGTCTACTTGTATTTCTTCTTTTGAGATCTGTCTTTTTAATTCCTTTGCCCATTTGTGGAATGGGTTATTTGTTTTTTGCTGTTAAGTTTTTGAGTTCTTTGTATATCCTATATCTATTCTTAAGGTTCAGAAAATGATAAGGTGATATTCCTTTAAGTGGCACTAAAAATATTATTATATTAACACTTCTGGGGGGAAAATGAGGAATTATTAGTGGAGTAAAATATAATATCATAAAAGATAGTACAAATTCCAACATGCTAAACCAAGCTATGGAAAACTCAATACCATAATTAAATAAATATGCAAGAGTACTACTTACGGATATAATTCTGAAAGCTGTTCAGCTATGGCATAAGCTGTTGGGTCTCTGTCTAAGGCATACAGAATAATATCTGATTCCTTCTGAAGAATGGCTCTTGTGTGGCCTCCTGAACCAAATGTCATATCTAGAAAAACCTAGCCAAGAAAGAAAAAAAATTACCACTTAAAATAAATATAAATAATTCTGGTTATCTATGTTAATTGCTTTTCTTTTTTGGTGTAAAACAAATTGTATTATTTATTTATTCTTTTTTAAATAAATGACAGCAGAATACATTATAATTCTTTTTATACATATACAGCACAATTTTTCATATCTCTGGTTGTATATAAAGTATGTTGACACCAATTCATGTCTTCATACATGAACTTTGGATAATGATGTCCATCACATTCCACCATCCTTGCTAATCCCCTGCCCCCATTCTCTCGCTCCTACCCCTCTGCCCTATCTAGAATTCATCTATTCCTCCCATGCTACCCCTCCCTACCTCACTATGTGTCAGCCTCCTTATATCAGAGAAAACATTTGCCATTTGTTTTGGGGGGATTGGCTAACTTCACTTAGCATTATCTTCTCCAACGCCACCCCTTTACCTGCAAATGCCATGATTTTATTCTCTTTTATTGCTGAGTAAAATTCCATTTTGTATATATGCCACATTTTTTTATCCATTCATCCACTGAAGGGTATCTGTTGGTTCCACAATTTAGCTATTGTGGTGATCTCTGCTGCTATAAACATTGATGTGGCTGTGTCCCTGTAATATACTGTTTTTAAGACTTTTGGGTATAGACTAAGGAGAGGGACAAATGGATCAAATGGTGGTTCCATTCCCAGATTTCCAAGGAATCTCCATACTGCTTTCCATATTGGCTGCACCAATTTGCAGTCCCACCAGCAATGTATGAGTGTACCTTTCCCCCCACATCCTCGCCAACACTTATTGTTGTTTGTCTTCATAATAGCTGCCATTCTGGCAGGAGTGAGAAGATATCCTAGGAATTAAACCAGAGACTCTGTGTCTAATAGAAGAAAAAGTAGGCCCTAATCTTCATCATGTGGGATTAGACTCCTATAGTGCAAGAATTAAAACTAAGAATCAATAAATAGAATGGAATCAAACTAAAAAGTTTCTTCTCAGCAAAATAAACAATCTGTGAGGTGAATAGAGAGCCTACATCCTGGGAGCAAATTTTTACCCCTCACACATCATATAGAGCACTAATCTCTAGGGCATATAAAGAACTCAAAAAACCTAAACACCAAAAAAGCAAATAACCCAATCAACAAATGGGCCAAGGATCTGAACAGACACTTCTCAGAAGAGGATATACAATAAATCAACAAATATATGAAAAATGTTCATCATCTGTAGCAATTAGAGAAATGAAAATCATCTATCTTAATTTCTAGAAGCCCATAATAATAATTTGCAGAGACAAGAGCAAATGGAAAAAAAAAATTTTTGCCTACAGTCAAATTCTAACATTTGTTTTCAAATTTTGTGAATTTTTTTCCTGTAATTTCTCCTGTTATCTACCATCTTTGACAATATTCCCCAATATACTGAATGAGTAACAAATGTACATACACCGATATGCTAGGACAAAAATATCGTGGTGCATAGTGGATTTGGAAATAATGGCTATCAAATCCACATTCACTTTATAGCATGCATTTTTAAATTAGAGCTTTATAGTTATACAAAATAATTGAGTTCACCCCAACAAACTCATACATGCATGGAGTTTGCATTCAGTTCATGATCCCCACTCATCCCTCCTCCTTTTCCTTCAAATCCTCCCTTACCTCTCTCATATTCCTTCCTCAACTTTGCTAGACTTCCTTTTTCTCATTATTTGTTTATATTTGATTGGTTCTTTCTACCTACATATAAAGGTGAAGTTCCCTGTGGTATGTTTATATATGCACACAACATGATTTTTGAAGAATTCATTATACATTACCTCCCCTTCCCATCCCTAGAGTTGAATTTTTTATATATGCCATCTGGCTCAATTATGAGTGATCAATCTAAAAAAACTGATCAGAGTATCAGTGCTGGTTCTTTCTTTCTCTCTCACATTCTCCTCCCCCTATTCTTTGTTGTTACTTATATTATAACAATAATCCAAATCATACAAATAGTTCTCAAAGTGCCTGTAGGTTTTATACTAAAGACAATCATTTGACAACCGAATGAGTGCAGTGACTATGAAAATACACCCCTTGCATCTCTACCAGGGAAGTGGTTTTCTGAGTCTGTATGTGTCTGTCTGTCTGAGCTAACTCTTGAGTATTTATTATTATTATTATTTATTCTATATATGATAGCAGAATGCATTATAATTCATATTATACATAGAGAGCACAATTTTTCATATCTCTGTACACAAATTAGAGTCACACCATTTGTCTCTTCATACATGTACTTAGGGTAATGATGTCCATCTCATTCCACTGCCTTTCATACTGCCATACCCCCTTCCTCCCCAACCCCTTGCTCTATCTAGAGTTCATCTAATCCTCCTATGGTATCCCATCCACCCCATTATGAATTAGCACCTTATATCTCAGAACACATTTGGCATTTTGTTTGGGGGGATTGGCTAACTTCATTTATCATTATATTCTCAAACTCCATCCATTTACCTGCAAATGACATGATTTTATTCTTTTTTAATGCTGAATAGTATTCTGTTGTGTATATATACCACATTTTCTTTATCCATTCATCAACTGAAGGGCATCTGGGTTGGTTCCACAGTTTAGCTATAATTTTTTTTAATGCTTTCCAGCACTCAGCTGGAAAATCCAATAATTTCTTGTCATTGGAAATACCTTAAAATTAGTGTGGTTTATTTTATCTTATTTTCTCTAAGTGCTTCATATGAAAATTAAAGATATCCAAGAAGAGAGAAAAATAAACAACCAAAAGAATAAATGAGAATGAATGTAACTAACAATAAATAATTAAAAGATAAATCAAATATAACCTGAGAAATAGAAAATTTAACAAATATAACCTAGAAAAAGCTCAAAGTTTTTTAAGTAAAAACACATGAGGCAAATTCTGTTTGACACTAAATAATTTCTTTGAAAAACATGATGTGAAGTCAAAATTCCAGTGTCTTCAGATTTTTCCCAATGTTTAAAAAGAAAAAGAGGATGAAGAAGGAAAGAAGATCATTTCCACCTACTTAAATGGGAAGATAACATATAATAACTCATCTAAACCAAGACATAGTGGAGAGTAAAGAATTTTCCAATAATACTTTTGCCAGGGTGAGAGAATATAGTATATATGAGAGCATATTTTAAAATGTTTGGCTCATTGAAGATACATAATACAGTTAACTGAATTTGAATCTATTTCTAAGCTATTTTATTTGGCCATACTTTGAAGAAAATAGATCTCAGTTGAGCAAGAAACCAGATCTTAATGATAAGAAACACGTGTGTGTGTGTGTGTGTGTGTGTGTATAAGGTAGTCAACTGTGACTGATTTGGAAGTCAAGATACTATCTGCACATCCCTTCAAAGTTATGGCCTTAGTTGAAGGGGCCCTTTCAATAAACTTCACGTATATCCTGAACATAAAAATACTTACTTTAGTAATATTAAAAAACAAAGATAAATAACCTATGTCTATCAGCCAGACTTAAAATATTTAAACACACAGACTCACATAAACACACACTGAATTTCACATGTATAATGAAAAAAGAGAAATTCCTATATTGGATTTGAATATTTCTGTTCTTTTAATATTATACCTTAGTTTATAGAGCATGTTCAGAGACAGGGCACAATGATGTTTTGATTTTGGGACACCTATTTACCACTCTGAATGCAGTCCTCTGATCAAGTAGCCTGCTATTGAAACAATAATATTAGAATCAAAATTGAGAAGAGAATGGAAATATAATATGCAAGAGACATAAATGTGAGAAAAATGTACAAGCATTACTTTTTAATACTTTAAGATTTTTACTAAAACTTAATCTTATACTTTATCACTATCAGCATAAAAGCCATGGCTACTTACAGTAGTTTTAGGTGGACACAATATCTTTATTTCACATTTATGTGGTGCTGAGGATCGAACCCAGTGCCTCATACATGGTAGGAGAGCACTCTACCAATGAGTCACAATCCTAGTCTTCACAATTTAAACAGTAACTTTACATTTATGAGAGTACATGCATAAATCTCAAGATCAAACACACTTTTTCCAGTTTGTATACGTACTTCAGGAATCTATGAGTAGGTAAAAAACATATAACCTATTTACCTCAGTTTTAAAATTTGTGAGTTCAGCATAATTAAAACAAAGAATTTCTTTCTTTTTTTTATTGTCATATCTTTCCTTTAGTTTTTTTATTTATGTATGATAGCAGAATACATTGAAATTCTTATTATACATGTAGAGCACAATTTTTCATATCTCTAGTTGTATACAAAGTATATTCACACCAATTCATGTCTTCATACATGTACTTTGGATAATAATGTTCATCACATTCCACCATCATTTCTAATCCCATTCCCCTCCCTTCCTCTCCCCCCCACCCCGCCCTATCTAGAGTTTGTCTATTCCCCCCATGCTCCCCCTCCCTACCCCACTATGAATCAGCCTCCTTATATCAGAGAAAATATTCGGCATTTGCTTTTGGGGATTGGCTTAACTTCACTTAGCATTATCTTCTCTAACTCCATCCATTTACCTGCAAGTACCATGACTTTATTCTCTTTTATTGCTGAGTAGTATTCCATTGTGTACATTTACCACATTTTTTTATCCATGATATACAATCAATCAAAAAATATATGAAAAAATGTTCATCATCGCTAGCAATTAGAGAAATGCAAATCAAAACTACTGTAAGATTTCATCTAACTCCAGTCATAATGGCAGCTATTATGAATACAAACAACATTAAGTGTTGGCGAAGATGTGGGGAAAAGGTACACTCATACATTGCTGGTGGAACTGAAAATTGGTGTAGCCAATATGGAAAGCAGTATGGAGAATCACTGGAAAACTGAGAATGGAATCACCATTTGACCCAGCTACCCTCTCCTCGGTCTATACCCAAAGGACTTAAAAACAGCAAACTACAGGGACACA